AACTACGTCATTCTGACAGGAATCTCAGAACAGCCTGATTTGAGAAAGGGGATTTTAAAATAGGGATTTAAAAAAAACTACTGGGTGGATTTTTATCATTATAGGGTGGATGTGTACACACACTTCCAACACGCATTTATGTTCAAACAACAACAAAAGTGAATTTTGCATCCGATGACCCCTTTAAGACATCTTTTGTTTACGTTTCTGTTGAAAACATAGTGTGTAGGACTGCCCTCTTGTGGCCACTTTTGGAAGTAACATTTCTAATGTAAATCACACTCCTTGTTTTTTTTTCTTTTCTTTCTTTAGCTAAGGATGGCGATTACTGGCGCTTGTTGGGTCCTGGTAACTACAAAGTGTCAGCATCTGCTCCTGGGTACCTCACTGTGGTCAAGAAAGTCGCTGTTTCCCATAGCCCTGCCACACGGGTAAACACACATCCTCTCTTCTCTCCCTTTTCTCATTGTATCTCATGTCCTATTCTGATGTCTCCATCTTTCTCACTCTCAGCTGGATTTTGAGCTGGAATCGTTGGAAGAGAGGAAGGAGGAAGAGAAGGAGGAGCTCATGGATTGGTGGAAGATGATGTCAGAGACACTCAACTTCTAACTTACCTGAGGCGGGGGCCATCACAAGCATTATGGGTGTAAAATATTTATTGTTGTTGTATGTGTGTGCTCATCAACTTAAAATAGCATAATTCAGTTTATTGGTTTGTTTTGATTGTTTTGCATTAGAGGTACTGCATTTTACCATTTATAACAGCCATATGAACATTAAGCCATTCTTACATGTTAACAAAGACAACCAGTGTTAAAGCTGGTCTAAGTATTTGCATATATGGTTGTCCTTGTAAATATGGACTCCACTAAATGCTAATGCTAAATGTAGGTCTGGTGAAGTGCCCCTAAAGTCAAGTTGACCCTATTGCAGGGTTTTTGCGATTTCGATCAACCAGGTAAGTGTTACTTCAGAGCAAGTTTCCTGCAGTCATGCAAAGGTTATTACTGTACATGCACACACAGAAAAGAAACATGCAGAACACAGACAGTTGATATCGTGGAGGCCGATTGACCGATCTATCACTCTTTTGTAATGTTGTGTTTTACATTGATATTGTGAGATTATTTTGTAGCTATGACACACCAACCAATCAGAGAGCACTGTGTTGTGATGAATGTACATGTCAGCAATGAATATTACTATTTATTCTGATTGTGACTGATTATGACTGAAGCCATTGTAGACTCATTTACACCTGATCTCAAGTCTCTTTCTGTTCCTGTGGGTTTCAATCAAATTATGCTTGATGTTTTGAATGGGAGTGCTTTTGATAAACCTGTTTCATTTATAAATGCTTTAATAATTATAACTTTGAATATCATATCCAGACAATTGCTCAGATGAAAAGAAAATGGAAGAGGTTATCAGTTGAACTCCTATCTTATGTTTTAAGAACTATATAGGAAATTAAATAATTATGAACATATGATAGCTATAAATCTGTATTATCTGTGTTTGTAAAGCAGAGAGTTTCATTTCAGATCATATAACAGCAGATTTTAATGGCACAAACTAATAAAATAGACATTTATTTAGATCTGATGGTTTTTGTAATCAATACCAAAATGCACAATTGTGCCCGATGAAGTACTAGCTGCGGTCTTTATTGAACGTTCTGTAATATATTGTCTTTTTTTTGTCTCTTTCAGTATCTTTATAGTTAGTGTATTTCTGTAATATGAAATGGCACGTTAATGCTGAATCAATCAACATTATGATCAAGTCTATAATCCTGCATTCAGAATTTCTCATTGATCCAAATGTTAACCCTCTAGTTTGGGAAATTTCTTGATCTAAATTAAACCCAAGCTTAAACTTTCAATATTAATGTCATAAATTGGCATTTCAAGTCAGCTTATGTATTTCTCCTTTGAGACCTAAGTGGTATGTCTTGTATATGAATGTAATGATGGTTTAATTGAATGATGCAATTCGTAACCAAAATAAACGTCCCTTTCTGTTGTCAGTCTGCTTCCTGTATTTCATCTTTCTATGCGATAAAACAACTTCCACCACAGTTGTCTGTTTTGTCTGAATAGCTGCAAATGCTAATATTAATAGTAACATAAGTGCAACAGTGTTGCAGTAGCATGTAGGGTCTAGAAACTAATCAGTCTGTTACTTAATTATAAGTTCCAATTCACTCATGCTCAAGTCAACACGCCAAAAAAAACAAAACACTATAATGATAATATATTGCAAGCAGAGTAAATATCTCAAGTCCTAACCTTCATGACTGTATCCAATATCCAACAATTAAAACCATTCAACATCATAATTTTGGTATAATCTGTTTAAAAAAGAAGAATCTGTTTTAAAAATAAGAAAAAAAGAGTGACAGAGAAAAAATAATAAAACCACCCTTAATTATTAAATGAAAGGGACTATAGCAGGTATTGAGAATTCAGAAATCCTTGTTATTAGCGAAGAAGAAAAAGAAGTTGGAAATATCTTTGCAGCGATATACTGTTAACGAACATGCAGACGCCATCCTTGATGCTGAGATTGACATTTAGATGAATATGTAAATACGTGCTGCGTGCTTTCCTCATATAACAAAATAAACACAAACACACACACACACACACAAATGACAGCTGTGAGAAAGCAGTGGTAAAGAAAGCATCTAATAATAACGATGTGGATATGTTTGCACCAGATCTGCAATTTCACTGATATAACTGATGGACTGGAGTCGTGTGGATTACTGTGATGTTTTTATCAGCTGTTTGGACTCTCATTCTGACGGCACCCATTCACTGCAGAGCATCCATTGGTGAGCAAGTGATGCAATGCTACATTTCTCCAAATCTGTTGTGATGATGAAACAAACTCATCTACATCTTGGATGGCCTGAGGGTGAGGACATTTTCAGTACATTTAAATTATTGGGTGAACTGTTCCTTTAAGTCTCAAGCCTTTGCAATGTAAACGAACTTGCCTCTGAGATTAAGCAAAAGTTTGTGAACAAAGTCTTAAATTCGTAAGTTTACATATCTTCGGTAAAGGTAAAGTTCACTCTTCTTTAGTGCTATTCGCAAAGTTCTGCAGTTAATGTAAAGTTGTGTAGACACGACGTTATTCAGCTCTATTCTGTGTAGTTGCTGGCATAGCAGATCCAAGCAATCTCGCCCATTTTTCATTCCTTATCTATTAGCATAAACCTGATCAATACTATTGATCAGAGAGGAGACAGCAACTCTATGGCAGTTCTCCTGTTAGCCCGAAGGGATCTCAGAATGCCTAAAACAGCAATACTATCTCTACTTCTCTCATTACTTCCCTGCGAGAGGGGTGAGAGTAGCATTGATGTGTTTAATTAGAGCTAAAAAATACACATGAGCTCCAGTCTCCCAGGAGAGCTGACACCGATATCGTATTGAACGCATTAAACAACAGCACAAAGCTTCACAAATGGCCAATTACTTTACTTTTTCACTCGAGTATTTGGAGTCTTGGCTTACTTTGGCATGTTGGACACTTTCTTTTCTGATTGTTTCTCCCTCTGCATTTTTCCTAAAAGTTCTGTTCTTTTTTTCCTTTCTTTTTTCAAACATGGCCATGTCAAAATATTAGGCCTATATAAGGAAATTAAACCAGTGCAATATTGATAGTAAAAAAAAAATTATACATACATACACGTACATATATATATTTAATGATTGCAATGACATTACTATGAAATCAAATTTACTAGACATTTCTTGTGAACATCAACAGAGGGCGCTGCTGAAGCATTTTGTTAAATGTTGGCTAAATGGGCAATGAATGATAATTTATATGGTAGGTAGACATTTAGGGGAAGAGTTCTTATAACTTTTTAAATCAGCTCTTGTGTACAAAAGTGCATATGTATCATTTAAATTATAGCCATGTTCCACACATTCATAAGTCATCAAGACTAAATGAAGCAACATGTGAACCGACACAGAATGTTGTTTTACCCCATTTCCCCAATCAATGCACGGTGGCTAATGCTCATAAAGGTGCCCACATCATCAGCCTTAACATCCAAAATGTTAACAAAAGCAGTCCTGTGGATCTTTGCTGTGGTGCAGAATGAGTGTGAAATAGATAACAGACACATAAACTCTCCCAAAATGAGACAAAAGAGAAATTCAGGCATCAGGAATGAAAAAGACATGAGATAGATATGGTCACATGCTAGCTGTGTATTTAAGTGTGTGTGTGTGTGTGTGTGTGTGTGCGCGTGTTAGTAGGGCAGCATTGCATTGCTTTTGATTCGAGACCTGTTTCAAATCCTCTCCTCCTTTCAGTCCTCTTCCCTTTTTCTGTATTTCTCCTTTGTTCTTCTGGGTGGCCTAACCTTCTCTTCTTTCTCCAAATATCCTTCTATCACTGGGCTGTGAACACCATCCTAATCTGTGTGTGTGTGTGTGTGTGTGTACAGTATGTGTGTGGATGTCCAAAGAAAGAAAAATGAGAGAGATTCACATTCATGTTTGTGAGTATCTGTCGGTTTGAACTAGTGTATGTTAATGTTTGTGTCGTGTATGTGTGTGTGTGTGTGTGTCGTGTATGTGTGTGTGTGTGTCGTGTATGTGTGTGTGAGTAAGAGAGAGAAAAGGGTCATTGGGTCCAGTATATGTATTGTGATGGTAATCATGGGATTTGATCATTCTGTATTCTTCTATAGTCTCTTTTCTGTTTTACATGCTTTGGCATTCTCTGTGGCTGTAGCAATTATCACTATTATTATTATTATTATTATTATTATTATTTTTATTGTGCATATGTATCATTTAAATTATAGCCATGTTCCACACATTCATAAGTCATCAAGACTAAATGAAGCAACATGTGAACCGACACAGAATGTTGTTTTACCCCATTTCCCCAATCAATGCACGGTGGCTAATGCTCATAAAGGTGCCCACATCATCAGCCTTAACATCCAAAATGTTAACAAAAGCAGTCCTGTGGATCTTTGCTGTGGTGCAGAATGAGTGTGAAATAGATAACAGACACATAAACTCTCCCAAAATGAGACAAAAGAGAAATTCAGGCATCAGGAATGAAAAAGACATGAGATAGATATGGTCACATGCTAGCTGTGTATTTAAGTGTGTGTGTGTGTGTGTGTGTGTGTGCGCGTGTTAGTAGGGCAGCATTGCATTGCTTTTGATTCGAGACCTGTTTCAAATCCTCTCCTCCTTTCAGTCCTCTTCCCTTTTTCTGTATTTCTCCTTTGTTCTTCTGGGTGGCCTAACCTTCTCTTCTTTCTCCAAATATCCTTCTATCACTGGGCTGTGAACACCATCCTAATCTGTGTGTGTGTGTGTGTGTGTGTACAGTATGTGTGTGGATGTCCAAAGAAAGAAAAATGAGAGAGATTCACATTCATGTTTGTGAGTATCTGTCGGTTTGAACTAGTGTATGTTAATGTTTGTGTCGTGTATGTGTGTGTGTGTGTGTGTCGTGTATGTGTGTGTGTGTGTCGTGTATGTGTGTGTGAGTAAGAGAGAGAAAAGGGTCATTGGGTCCAGTATATGTATTGTGATGGTAATCATGGGATTTGATCATTCTGTATTCTTCTATAGTCTCTTTTCTGTTTTACATGCTTTGGCATTCTCTGTGGCTGTAGCAATTATCACTATTATTATTATTATTTATTTTTTTTTTTTTTTATTAAAAAATGGTGGTGCAAAGTATTTTTTCAAAATAAATAAAAAACGGTGACAAATAACACTATTGTTATTTTTCCTTTATTATTATTATTTGCATATAATAAAATGAAATAATAAAATACTTTTTTTTTGTATAGCTGTAGCTAGATTAATTTGTTTAAAGCCTTAGAACCAGGGGCATCATGCGTGTATTATTT